CACGAGAAATAATCATAACATTTATGCACCCTTAAAGGCCTAAGACAATAACGTGATAATTTAGGAGGATTTTTTAATGCACCCTTTAAGTTTTTTAGCAATCACGTGAAAATACTTAAATGCCCCCAAATTCTTAAGATGTATCTTCGGACGCATCAAAAATTCAGTTAGCGTTAAAATATTTCATAGATGCATCTCCAGAATATTTTGGAGGTTAAATCACGCCAGATCCTCCTCCTTCCTCATTTCTCATTTTGCTCAAAATCAACTTCAAACTCTCTCAACTTTTCTCTCTTCACCAAGTCAAAACTCAATCAACAAAGCTCAAGGGAACTTCAACCAACATCTATTACATCATAAACAACATCAAGAACATCCATTTCTTATAAGCTTTTTTTAGTTTTTTGATAAATTTTTGAGATTTTGTGTAAATGAGTAGAAATTGATGATTAAGGATATAAACGAGTAGAAATTGCATTTATGATAGTTTAGACATAGTGTATTAGACATTTGTTGGCTGGAAAGGATGATCAAAACATATTTTTTGGGCTTTGTTGGGGTACATTGATGCCATTGATGCAACTTGTGAGTTGCATAAAATTCTGGAGATGTATCTCCGAAATTTTTCAGCATATTAGTTTCCCAGATTCCAGAGATGCAGCTCTGGAATTTTCTCAGTATTTTTTTTAGTTTTCTTGCTTGTGGTGTTTTTTGTCTGCACTAATTGGCTGCTTTACTTTAACCTACATGCATAATGGTTGATAGACACAATAAACTAAGGCACAAGAGGGTTGCTTAGCATGCATCAGTGCGGCGAGAGAAGAGCCAATAATTTTCAAGGGGTCCTGGTCCCTCTAGTCATGCAGAGCCATCTACTTCTGCGCCTCATGCCACTCCATATTCTTCTTTCCGTAGGAGACATGATTCACTTACTGACCCATCACTCTCTCATCCACTTGCATGCATCAGGTTTCCTCTATTCAGGCACCTGAGGTACCCAATTTACTAGTGCCACCTCCTCTTATAGATGTTTCTTAGTCCGTGCCATCTCTTACTGTTGATGTTGTTGATCCAGTGTCAGCTCTAAAGGGTGAGGTTGTTGCGGATGCTAAGCTAGAGGTATTTGAAGGAGGCCTTGTTGATTTGTCATTGCTGCCTATGTACCCATACCATATTACTAGACATATATGGGACGGAAAGGAAACATTAGTTGGATTCGTTATTTTTTATTTACGTTAATTTTAATTGACAAAATTCTAACATTTATTTTTATTTTTTCCAGGAGCGTGATTCGCAGAAGTTTATTAACCACAGGCAAAAGATTACTAACTTGCCTTAGCCGAATGAGGATTAATTTCAGGCACTTTTATCATTATCTAGCTTGAAAGACTTTTGCATGACCGATTATACTACAATCAACCACGAGATACTTAACGCATTCGTGGAGAGATGTCACACAGAGACCTCGTCATTTCATCTTTCGTATGGTGCGATGTCTATCATAATCGACGATGTCTTGTGTTTGCTACATCTTTCAATTAAGGCATATTCTTAGATCATGGGAGGATTACCAAAGACGAGGCCCTTGAAGTGATGGTAGATTATCTGGGGGCTCACCCAAGGGAGGATAATGAGGAGTTGGATAAAACCAGGGATGCTCATGTTAGGTTTGAATACTTGAAGAAGACATATACGATTGAGATTCTAAGAGCACAACAGACTGCAGGTGATGATGAGTAGGTGGCACTCCATAGGTCGTATGTTACGAGAGCATACATGCTATATTTGGTTGGCACTGTGATTTTTACGAAAAAGAGCACCACTTATACAAACGTCGTCTACCTACGGTACTTAGAGGATTTCAAGCGGATCCATGAGTACAAATGGGGGACCGATTGTTTGGTTTACCTGTACTCGAAGTTGAGAGAGGGTTGTAGCATGTATGTGGAAAAAGAAATAGGTCACAAGCAGCGTCGCACTACTAATGGTAATAATTATTGGTCTATGAATGTTTCTTCGTCATTTTCATTTCATCTTTGCAAAGTCATTACTGATGATTTGTGTGTTCAAAACTTTTCATTTCAGGCTTGGATCCTTCACCACTTCCTGCGCATCTTCGACTGGGCGAGTGTACCGACTTACATTGAGGATATGATGCATGCTACTACTTTTTCTCGGCTTAGAGGGTACCAGGAGACCGAGCCTCTCAGAGTCTATATTGACCATTTAGTTGTCGAGGACATGCACTTAAACATCTATGTTGATCATTGTGAGATGCGACCATTTGACGAGATAGTGTTATACTCTGGATAGTTGGTCTGTGATTCGCGTTTCACTACTTCTCATATTCCCTAGCGCATCATGCAACAGTTCGGCTACACCCAGGTCATTCCCAAACACCATGTTGTCTCTGCTCCTTTTGCCTTGACACATAGACAAATAGGTGACATGTTTGATGATTATGAGAGTCATCTGGTACTAAAGGAGGCACGGAGTACCATAGCTGGGAGCCACTGGAGCCACGTCGAAGGGTACATCAGATGGTTCTTTAGGATGTCACATTCGTACATGGTGCATGTTTCTCCAAGAGATTCGCTGAGGCCAGCTCATCAGAAGATACTGGAGGAGGAGCAGACACAGTTAGATCATGTTGAGTATGTCTTGCCTAGATGTCGTCGCATACTGGAAATTGTGCAGGCAGGCATTGTCAAAAGCATCTTCCCTGATGGGTCTGATGTGAGGCAGGTCCTATATGCCATTATGACGAAGGAACGAGGGACATTGATGTATCAGAGGCAACTTCAGAGGATGGGGGATTTAATGGTCGAGGAGGCAAATGAGACATAGGAGGTAGATGAAAGGCAGTCATACATATAAAATAGTGCATTTAGTGTATAGTAGTAGTAGTATTATGCTCTGTATTTTATTTTGACATCACACTACTTTATTAGTCTCGATTGAATGACATTTTTAACATTTATTGGTCTTTTATTTATATATGAAGTTTTTGGACCATTTGAATTTATGTACTATTTTTTTTTTAATTTAGATTATATGATATGATTTAAATCTGCTTCTAAATGCTCACGGAGATGCATCTCCAATACAATACATGTGTTTAATGATTTATGAGTGTGATGCATAATATATTTTAAATTGTTATAAAGATATATCTCTAAAATTTGAAAAAATTTAAAGAATTTAGTGCATCTAAAAATTAAAAAAGTTTAATTAATTTTACATAGTGACTGAAAAACATAAATGATACATTAAAAAATTCTTCAATTTAGTTGCTAATCGCAGGCATTAGCAGGCCCAGCTCATGAGGTAAGCCATTTAGGCCCACTACCTTGGATATTCAATTTTTTCTTTACGTTACATTATATTAGTATCCCTATCCACTTTTTATTAAGGAAACGTTGATGGCTTACTTGTATAAAAAAAAAATTGATAACTTAATAGTAGTAAAATATATATATATATATATATATATATATATATATATATATATATATATATATATATATATATATATATATATATATATATATATATATTATAATTATTGTGTAAATTATGAAAACTTACTCTTAAATTATATTTATACTCTATAAATGAAATTTCATCAATGATATACTCTATGTTATATTCATCAATGATAAAATCACCAAAACATAAATTTCATAGCACAAGTTTATATATATATATATATATATATATATATATATATATATATATATATATATATATATATATATATATATATATATTATAATTATTGTGTAAATTATGAAAACTTACTCTTAAATTATATTTATACTCTATAAATGAAATTTCATCAATGATATACTCTATGTTATATTCATCAATGATAAAATCACCAAAACATAAATTTCATAGCACAAGTTTGGGAATAACACAATTAATAAATGAAATTAATATCAAACAAATCATAAATTTAAATTCAAACAATAAAACTATAACATAGAGAAAAGTATTGAAGTAAAGATATATTTATAGAAAAGAATTAAATAATGCTTATTGTTATTCTTTTTATCTGCTCTTCTACATTCAATGAGAAGAAGAAAAAAGAACAACACACACTATAAATTTAAGAATTAATAAAGAGTTATATATATATTTATAAAAACTATATTACTTTAATAATGCATAAAAAACTTATCCTATGTCAAGATCTTCCTTCTTGATATCCTATATTATGTCATGTTATTTCCAAAAATATGTCAGACAACAGAAAACCATGATTTAGACTCATTAAAATCCTCAAGAAAGCCAACTTTTCACAACTGAATTATGTAACACAGATACAAAGTAACAATATATTTATAAAACAAGAAACAAAACAAATTAATTTTTCACACTATCTTTTTTTATTTGTTAGTTTGTGATTCATTCATTATTCCATCAATCATTCAAAAGCAATCTTATTGTTATTATTATTATTATTATTATTCCTTCTTCTCCTCAAAAAAAGATAAAAAGCTAAAGCCTATATACCTCTCTCTCTCTCTCCACCACTACTGTAGTTCCATGTCTATTCAACCAGACAGACAGTCCTCTTGTTCTTTTTCTTCTTTGTTAATTTCCTCAATAACCCTTTTCTCTTTTTCTCTTGTTCATGTTTTTAAGTCTAGCTTATTCTTAACAAAAGTGATTTATTCCATTCATAATGTTTAAAGCTATAGCTATAGTCACTATATACTTACTTTTTCTATTTATATATTTTTTTCACTTCTCTCTATATCATCAAACAGAAGCTTTTGTTAATCCACATAACTTTGCATGTACAATAAAGAAAGAGAAAGTTTCATATCTCATAACCAAAATCACTTTCATATAAAAAGCCAAAATTTACCTCCCTGACAAGAAAGGCACATTATTCATACATTATATCTATATCTTCCACTTCTTCCCTCTTATTCTACCAAACCAACTCTAACCTTTCTTTTCTACTCTCTCTTCTTTCTCTAACCAATATCATGAGAGGAGGAATTTGTAGTATTCAGCTTCAAGCTCTTACACAAGAAGCTGCTACTGTTGTTAAACAAGCAGTGAATCTAGCAACAAGAAGAGGTCATGCACAAGTCACACCTCTTCATGTTGCTAGTGCCATGCTTGCAACTTCAACTGGTTTATTAAGAAAAGCTTGTCTTCAATGTCATTCTCACCCTCTTCAATGCAAGGCTCTTGAGCTTTGTTTCAATGTTGCACTTAACCGTTTGCCAGCTTCAACACAAAGTCCACTTTTAGGTCCTCAGTATTCATCTTCTCCTTCACTTTCTAATGCTTTGGTTGCAGCTTTCAAGCGTGCTCAGGCTCACCAGCGTCGCGGAACGATAGAGAATCAGCAGCAGCAGCAGCATATTCTGGCCTTGAAGATTGAAGTTGAGCAGCTCATAATCTCTATACTTGATGATCCAAGTGTTAGTAGAGTTATGAGAGAAGCTGGTTTCTCTAGTACTCTTGTGAAAGCAAGAGTTGAGGTTGAGCAAGCTCTTCCGGTCGAAGTTTCTTCGCAGAAAGAAATTTGCATTAAGCCTCCTCAAGCTCTTAGCCTTGGCGGTTCGAATTCATTCGCCAAGCCTATAGAATATGTTAACAATGATGATGTAACAAGTGTGTTGAATGAGTTAGTGAAGAGGAGAAGGAACACTGTGATTGTAGGAGAAAGTGTTTCGAATGCCGAGGGAGTAGCTAAAGGAGTGATGGAAAGATTTGAGATAGGTAATGTTCCTAATGAGTTAAGGTATGTGCAAATTGTGAGTCTTCCTTTGATATGCTTTAGGAATATAAGCAAAGAGGAAGTTGAAAAGAAGTTTGTGGAAGTTAGAAGCCTAGTGAAAAGCTATATGGGAAGAGGGGTGATTCTATATTTAGGTGATTTGAAATGGTTGTTTGAGTTTTGGTCAAGTTACTGTGAGCAAAAAAGGAACTACTATTGTTCTGTTGAGCATATGGTTATGGAGGTTAAAAAGTTGGTGAGTGGAAGTTGTGAGAGTACTAGATTATGGCTTATGGGAATCTCAAATTTCAAAACATACATGAAGTGTAAAACATGTTACCATTCTCTAGAATCTATCTGGGAGCTTCATCCTTTCACAGTTCCTGTTGGAAGCCTAAGCCTAAGTTTGAATTTTGACAGGTAACTTTAAGATTCTTATGAACTCTTGTTCTTCTTTTATTGAGTGCTTTTTGTGATTAATTAAAATCTCTTCTGTTTTACATTATGTATAGTGATTATCAAGCTAAGGAGAGAAGCATGGTGTTATTCAAGGACTTGGCTTTTGAAGATAAAGTAGGAGTTGGAAAGTATCTAACTTGTTGCAAAGATTGTTCTATGAAGTTTGAAAATGAAGCTCAGAGTTTGAGTAACAATTCAAGCAAGACAGCATGCAGTTCTAGCTTGCCAACATGGCTTCAAAGTTGTAAACAAGAAAGAAGCTACATGATGGAAGATCAGGTTTGTATCATAATATTCATACTTGGTCGAGAAAAATTTATTTAACGGTTACGATTGATTGACAGTGTAAAAATCATTAAATTTTGATTAAATTCTTCATTTAGTTTTGTCCTTTTTCTATTATCTTATTGTTTTTTTCTTTATGAAACAGGAGAATGCAAGGCTTAAGGATCTGTGCAAGAAATGGAACTCAATATGCAAATCGGTACACAGAAAGCCTTCGATTCTCGACAAACAAGATTTGTTTGTTTTATCATCAACCCCTTCATCACCAACTTCATTTTCCTCACTTGAAAAAAAGTCCACTTTTCAACAAAACCACCTAAATTGGCCTATAACTTCTGAACAAGAAAAAGCACCAAAAGAATGTGAGTTATTATACACTGAAAATGCTGGTGGCGACGATGACGATGATGATTGCTATGATGGTAACTTGATAATGTTCATGCCACATAGAAATGTTCCAAAACCAGATCTTTTGTCAAATCCAAACTCAAGTCCAAACTCCGCCTCTTCAAGTGAAGCAGTGGAAGGTTTAGAGAGCACTGAAATGTTCAATGAACAAAATGAAGAGAATCTCAAGATTCTCTGTGATGCCTTGGAGAACAAGTTTCCACAATATAAAGAAACCATTCAAGAGATTGCAAGTACTGTCCTTTTTTGTAGATCAGGAATGAGAAAAAGAGATAACCACTTGATCAAAAGAGAAAATCATAAGCAAGAAACTTGGATGTTATTTCTCGGCGACGATTCTCAATCCAAAGAGAATATCTCAAAGGAGCTAGCAAAAGTTGTTTTTGGATCTTATAGCAACTTTATGACAATTGCCATAAGCACTTTTTCTTCATTAGCTGATGATGTTAACGATTCTTCAAGCGACGAGAAATCCAAAAGGAAAAGACCAAGAGATGAACTTGGAAGCACTTATTTGCAAAGGTTTGGTGAAGCAATGAATGAGAATCCTCATAGAGTGTTCTTCATGGAAGATTTAGAACAAGTTGATCACTTTACTCAAAAGGGTATCAAGAAAGCTATTCAAACTGGAAGTTTAACAATTCCTGATGGTGAATCAATTCCTCTCAAGGATGCAATTATCATTTTCAGCAGCGAAAGCTTCAGTTCTTCAATGTCAAAGTCACAACCATCATCATCATGTGCTGAAAACAAAGGGAAAGAGACCATGATAGAGGATCATAAAAATACTCTAAACCTCTCTTTGGATCTGAATATAGCCATTGAAGATCATGAGAATACAGACACTAGTATTCTTGAGTTAGTTGACAAGAAAATTAGTTTTAATTAACATGTAAGATTTGTGATTGTGATAGAGAAAAAAAAAAGTTGAATTAATATATATGTTAAATTTGAGTGTAACTTTTTTTTCCCTTCAAATTGTATTGTTTTTCAGTTATATAGTTTCTTCAACTTGTATATATTTTTAACTAAGTGAAGATTTGGTTTCTGTTCTAACTAATGTTTGGCAGACAGTTGAATATTTGATACAATTATTAGTGAGGACAGTGTAGTACTATAATGTTTCCACTTTATTTATCAATCTTGTGTTATAATATTGAATGTATTCTCTACTGTTAATGTCAATTGTACTGTTGAAAAAAAACATGAAAAGTACAAAGGGAGAAGAGGAACTAGAAAGAATAATATCGCAGAGAATATTTTGTCACATCACTTTATATGGATTGGATTGTCTAACATATTGTTAAGGATAGATTATTTTAGCAAAGAATGTGAAATTTATATTGTGGCATGTTGTTAAGGATGCAACATTAGGAAGTTTATAGTTGAAGGATTGAAAAGGTTTATGAAAGAATTATTCATAGCGTAAGCATTATGCAAAGAAAGAAAACAAATTGTTCAAAAGGTATTCGTTTTAAAATAAAGAAGCACCATGGTGGGGTGCTTTGAATGGCTCAATTCATTTGAAATAGAGATTGAAAGAGTTCATACTAATAGGACAATTAATTATTAACACTTGTTTATAAGAATAAGTATATGATAGATGCAATATATAGATACTCCTATTTGTGTCCTTAAATATATGGTTCTATTAAATAAGTCTTTTAATTTTTATCAATTTTTTATTAGCTTTTTTTAGTATAACCAATTTAGATTTCTATATTGAGTTTTTAACTATGTGAATTGTTTATTTATCAATGTAACTCTAATTATCTTACATAATTATGTAATCAATAGTAAATATTATTTTAAGAATAATTATCTCTTTTAGTTTAATAACGGATGTTAGATTCAAATTTAAGTTTTGAAAATATCTAAGGATGTGCTATACAAAGTATAGAAGATGTTGTGTGAGATGAAACCGAACGACATAGAGAAAATCGATTAAACTGGGATAAAGGGGAAGGTTGTGAGATTGATTCGCCTATGTGTTTCAGACGAGGTGATGTATCAGATCTCGGACCTGACGACACTAAAGGAGGTTTGAAACAAATTAGAGAGACAATATATGTCAAAGACGCTGATGAACAAATTGTTCGTTAAGCAGCGACTATATAGGAAAAAAATATGTAGGAAGGGTCTTAACCAAGTTGGAGTTTTTAGTTGGCTATCCTCCGAACTGAAACGAGGTTTTATACGGGATGAACATGAACAATACCTAGATTTTTATCGAGTTAATCTCGAACCTATTGAGCTTTTATACATGATAAACTCATAAATCAAGTGAATTTTATACCAGACTAATCTCGAACTAATAGATAATTTAATCGGGTTAAACTTAAGAACCGTTATGAAGATTTTTCTCAGAAACCAAACAGAGACTTATACTAATCCCTCAAAGAGCTTTTATGTAGATTTAGCTCCAAACCAAAACAAACACTTTTTAAGGAAGAATATCGTACCCAAGAGGAAAAAAAAGTCTTGGTAAATTTACAATAAAGATCTCACCCAAAACAACTTCCTCATTAAACTCAATATTGCTTTCAAAGTGTTATGGGTATGTGAGATAAACAAAAATATTTTAGAGAGATTGAGAAAGAGGAAAGTGATAAGTTTCACGTTTTTTGGATTGTTTGAAATGAAATGAGAGCCCTCTATTTATAGGTCAAGAGATGGTTCATTTTAGGAAACAATCCATGAGTAAAATAAATGACCTAATCGATTAAGTACTTGAAATAATCGATTATTATTCTCCAAATTATAAGATTTTGATAGATAGTTGTTATCATTCATTAAGACTCTATCATAATCGATTATGAATTTTATTCGCCCTCATTTAATTCATTAGGTATTTGTTCTAATCAATTAAACTATTCAAAAAACTTAATCAATTTGATAGTTTTCACAACAAACACCTAGACTCTAAAAACATTTTTGGTGATTCTATTTGATTAATAAAGGCTTCAAAATTATTTTTAAGTGTGTGTTTGTGTATGTGTGTGTGTGTGTGTGTGTTTTATCCATACTAATTACAAAAACGCCCTAGTGTTTTTACAATACACCAATCACTCAGAAAGACACAATCAGACAAGCTTTCACACTTTTTCTCTTTTATGCTCTGAAGCTTTAAGTCTTTTTTTCAAATATGCCAATCATATGATACTTCACTTGAATCTTCTTGTAGATGAGGCTTGAGATATCTTAAAGCCAGTCACCATCATTAGAGAGTTATAAAGATATCACTAGTGATCATAAACCATAATTCTTTAATTTGATTCAGAATAATTGCTTGTTCAACCGTCTTATGCATCTTTTACCATTTAAACTAGATTTAGTACTTTCTTGTATTCATGTGTTGTTGTCATCAAAAACACTTCAAGAGTTTTTACAGCTTCAGGTGTTATCATCATCATAATTATAAAGTTATTAGAGTTAAACATATCTTGCTTATATATGAGTTTTGATCACTTCTTGATTATATCTGCAAGCATATTATTTCACAGAGATGAATTCCTTGAAGGAAAATAAAATGTGGGAGCTTGTTCAAATTCCTAAGGTGAAAAGGGTCATCCGTTGCAAGTGGGTGTTCACGAGAAAACTAGTACTAACAGAAAAATAAGGGAAAAATTTCAAGGCTCGTCTTGTAGCAAAAATGTACTCACAACATAAGAGGATTGACTATGATGAGATTTTCCCTTCGATCGTTAGACATACTTCTATCAGGTTTGTGTTAGTCAACTAAAAGATGCATTTAGAGCATATGGATATGAAGACAACATTTCTTCATAGTAATCTAGATAAGCAAATTTATATGGAGCAGCCATAGAGGTTCAATGACACTGGACATGGAAGAATAGTTTGCAAATTGAAGAGATCTTTGGGTGATTTAAACAGTCTCCAAGGCAGTGGTACAAGCACTTTGATTCATACATGATTTAGATTGACTATAAAAGGTGTGAGTATGACTATTCTGTTTATGTTAGAAGCCTTGATGACAACTCTTTTATTTTCTTGTTATTGTATGTTGATGATATGTTGAATGTTGTTAATCATTTACATGACATAAATGAAGTGGTAAATCATGTTAGGAAAGGAGTTTTACGTGAAAAACTTAGGTGTTTCTAAGAATATTCTTGGTAAGAAAATTCATAAGGATACGAGTCCTAGAAAATTATGGCTCTCTAAAAAAAACTATGTTGAAAAGGTGCTAGAAAAGTTTGACATGAGTAATTTGAAGGCTCTAAGTACTCCATTGGCGTATCACTTTAAGATCTCATTGGATAAGTGTCCAAAGACATATGCAAAAGATGAGTATATGTCAAAGGTTCTTTATGGCAGTGTTGTCGGTTGTTTATTGTATGTTATGGTCTGCACTTGACCATATTTGGCACACGTTGTAAGTCAAGTTTGTAAGTTTATATTCAAAAGAGAAGCAATCAAATGAATTTTCAGGTACTTAAAGAGTACAACATATCATAGTATCATGTTTAGTAGTGAACGGGGTGATCATTTGGTCGTAGGATATGTTGATTCAGACTATGCTGGTTATATGGATAATAGAAGGTCTATAACATAGTATGTCTTTACTTTAGTATGGTGACTTACTTGTTAGAAATCACTGGTTCAATCTATAGTTGTCGTGTTGACAATTGAAGTAGAGTACATAACATTAGGTGAAGTTGCCAAAGAAGCCTTATGACTTACATGATTGGTGAGAGAAGTTGATGTTCAACAATGTGGAGTTTAATTGCAATGTGATAGTCAGTGTGCTATTTATTTAGAAAACAATTAGGTGTATCATGTTAGGACCAAATATATTAATGTGAGGTTTTACAAGATCAGATAATTACTTGCATCTAGATAGACGTAACTTAAAATTGTTCACACTTAAAAAAATGCAGCTGATATGTTGACCAAGACATATATCAGTGACAAGTTCAGGCATTGTTTAAACTTGTTAGATGTTTCTTAGTTTTAAGCAGAAGGTGTACCTTCCCAGTTAGCAGAATGTGATCATTTTGCAAAAAAATCTTCATTAGAGTTTGATATTCGTCAAGGTTTATGGAAATTGTTATGGGTATTGTTGAGTATGACTTACATTATAAAAATTATTATAGGTATTGTTCTGGACTGGGCCCGGACCTGCCCATCCGTCGGGCAGGCCCAACCCAATACTACTAGGGGAAGGCCCAATAAGGCCTAAAACTCCCAGTGTAGGGCACGACTCTAGACACGCCGGGCAGGCAACCTCCCTCCGTCGGGCAACACGTCTTCCACACGTTCTCCACGTGCTCCCCCTGCGGGAACACATCATTAGACAACTACCCACCTTCGAAAGAGCTGGTCAGCCCACCTTCCGGAGATCACGGGGCGGTTGAACTAGGGCGAAGACCACGTGCTGGTCTTCACTACGCCACGTAAGCCCTAGCAGTCACTTGGGTTAGGCCTGGCAATCCAGCCCAACACAAGTGACCGTTGGCTCTGCGTTGGGGTCTCTCTATAAATACGCTCTTTCACTAGAGGGTCAGGTATTCAATTCTCTATCTCCTTTTTGTATTTGCTCCCACTCTGGTCCATTACTTACTTTGACATCAGAGTGTCTTGCAGGTACACTCCCTCCTCCTCCTTACTTTCGGTGAACAGCCTTCAGATCAACGACGCGTGACAGGTCACTAATTCCCTTTTGATCAGGTATCATGAGGATTATTCATACTGTTGAAATTATTATTGGTAGATAATTGAAAAGTATGGAGGCTTTAGAGTTATTATTGTAAATTGAGCTTTAATATTATATATTATTTTTAAATTGTAATTCTAATGTATCTCAATTAATATACTAAAATATAGGGAATTATATATGCTCTTGAATCACAAAAGTTGACACCTTTA